TGCGAGAAGAGGAAGAGAGGGGAGGAAGATTGCATCCAGACACACTGCTGGATCCCTGATGGGCTTGGGTAAGTTTTAAGAGAGGGGGGTGGGAGGGAAATATTTAATTATTTTATTAAGGTAAAAATCACCAGCCTTTTAGAACCACTTTAACTCACTTCAGTCTGATTGAGGATAGCCATTATCTGTGAATATTGGTCAATCTCCCTATCTCAGAAATGTGTTTATTTTATTTAAAAACCGTAGTACAGTTAGCAGTGAAGAAATGTAAATGGGAATCACCATTGGACTTGCAGATAATTTGGTGATATGCCTAAAAAGTGTATTAACACTGTTCTATGCATGTTATCATGTGAACTGGTAATATTTGTTACACATGCATTTTGAGGCTAATTCTTACAACTGAATAAACAACACCCCTGGCCTAAAGGCAGCACAATGTATAGGTGTATATTGCCTTGGAAAAAAATGTCAGATATGTTGTTTGGCCCATTAACGTCAATGTGCCAAAAATGTGTCAACATGCAATCAAATGCACACAAAGCAGTGGTAATACCCAACTCCACTTTTAAAATGTTTTTTTAAATAATCCCATAGCAGCTTTAAAAATAGAAATCAGTTGGCAGGAGTACCAGCTCTCTGATTCTGTCCCCCATGTTCCCCATAGACTCACATCTCTGTGATCCAGGAATGGTGCTCTTCTGCTCAGCATCATTCAAGCAACTTCTTGAGAGTGCAGTGTGTCATGAGCTTACGTCACCATGGAATACTGCATGCTAATACAATGATACAGAGAATGATGTCATCACTGCTCTCTGAATCACTGAGAGTCATCCAACGTTACCTGACCAACTTGAAGACACCTAAAAAAGGTAAGTATAAAGAAAATAGACAGGGGGCGGGGGGCGCCAGAGAACTGGGGAGCAGGAAGGTGGAGATGGTCTTTAATGGACCCTCAAAGCTTTCTCATTTATATGTGTACTGACTGTAGCTTACTAGCATCATCCTTTTTTACCTGGTTATTGATCGTGGTCATGTCAATATTTTAGTGGCCATTGAAAGTACTGCAATCGATATATCTGTGACCAAGTATTATTAGTGTTCAGTATCTTAAAAACACAAAACAAAAACTATGTTGATGCTGTAAATATTTTGTGCAATAAGTGTTTGCCCTCAGGCTTACAAGCCTTTAGTAACTGATGTTATTTTTTATGATCTAATTCTGCTCTAATAGCTGACTTTACATCAACCTGAGTAATGTTTTCTCTGGCTTCCATTTATATATGATCCACCATATGGTCATTTCTCACAAGTAAGAAATAGTGACTAACACATCCTTTACAGCAAAAACTCTCATTTAAATTTCATAGCGGAGGCATGTATTAGGATTTGATGGATCATCCCAACTGCATGCTAATAACTGTGCTACTTTAAAACTCATAAACAGCATGAATAACCGTTTACCTAAAAGTTATAAGAAGGCATTCTGTAACCATTTCTGTGCACTGAAAGTTAAGCTTTGAAAACACAGAATTTCAGCTGTTCGAGACAATGTAGTAGATGCTGAAAGCCATTGAAACTACAGCCAATCACCTAGAATTGATTGCTTATAGATGCTGTACTTCTGGGAAATCTGATAATTATTTATAGTGACCCTTTACTGTACACTGGAGGGGTTGTAATCATGAATCTCTGAATTATTTAGCGCTAAAAAAAACATTCTTGGAATGTATAAAAAAAGAGAGGAGAACATATGATGTCAGTATAGTATTGCTTCTGTATAAATGATGTGTAAGGCCACATATAGCATATGGGATCCAGTTTTGAGTACCACATTGTAAAAAGGCAATGTGAATACTGCAGAGTGACATGGGTAATTAAATTAATTAAAGGGGTGGAAAAATTGATTTAAAATGTTATATTTTTAGTTTGGGAAAAAAGATCTTATTCATAATTAACCACTTCACGCCAGCCACACACATTTATGTGGCCTCTCCAGTGGGTTGGCCTTAATGTCGAGTGGACACATATCTGCGGCCCTGTATTAATGACTTACTCTGCTGAGAGAGTGCTCATTGCACGCCCATAGCATGGTGGCTTGCAGGGATCGGTAAGCTCCCAATACATACTTACCATCAGGAACTTTCCAATCATGTGACTGCCAATCACAGTAGGCACATGTCCCGAATGCTCACCTCTTCCTCCGGGATCTAGAAGCTCCTAAAGGGCCAGGAGGTGTTGGCATGAAAGGTTACTTTGTTTAAATATATCCGAGGCCAGTATAAAAATTTTCAAAAATAAACTATGTTTGCCAAGAACTAAAGAAAGAGTAAGAGAGACATAAAATGCATATGGGTAAAGAAGATATTATTTCATTCGTTTGGTAAAGGGTTTAGACTAGAACAGGGGCGGACTGACAACTCATGGGGCCCCCGGGCAATAGGGGATCATGGGGCCCCTGTGTCCTTGCCCAAACAAAAAAAGCCTATGAAAAAGGTACCAGGGGCATCTCATGGGGCCCCCTACTGACCCCGGGCCCTCGGGCAGTGCCCAAGTTTCCAAATGGTCAGTCCGCCCCTGGACTAGAAGTGGTTAAAGCATAAAGTCATCTTGGGCCACAGGAGCATTTGCCAAAATGTGCAAGTATAAAGTGCACTATCACATTATGGCTACCTTACCTCTTAGTCTGGTCTCTGGTATGAAAGGTTTGTGCTCCATCTCATACCATTGCAGTCACAGTCATCTTCTCAGATTCTTCGTCAAACCTGGTGTCTTCTTTCTTTGGTAATTGGACAGCCACTAAAACTGCAGTTATCGTATGAGCAAGTCCTACTCCTAGCACCCTTGCTCAAAGTGTAACCTGCACTGCACATATGTCACAGTCACTGTACAATTTCTAAAAATTGCTACCAAGAAGGAAAATGCTAAGTCTTTTTTATACCAAAAACATTACTTGCTAGCAGTTTGTTTGCACGTTTGGGTCCACTTTAAGCTCGAGAATTCTTTACTTCTTGAATTACTACTGGCAAAAACAATAAAGGAATTTAAAAAAAGGACTGGATTTTTTTTTTTACATCTTAGAGAGCAACATTTTGATTTATTGAATTAGTGTGACCTGAGATCAGAAAGGATTTTTTTTTTTTTTTGCCAAAAATGGAAACCTTTACACAGGGTTTTTTTTTTACCTCCATCTGGACAACTGCTTAAGAAGTTATGAGTAGTGGAAATTGTAGAACCTCATGACCTTTTTTTTACATTTAACTAGGTAACTATGTAGATAATAAAGTTTGAGTAAGAATTCTGGGAAAATTTGGAGAAAAATGAAGCTAAATAGTAGACGTAAGCTAAATAAGTAGCTAATTTTTATGGATTGTAATAATTAAAACAGTAAGGTTGTTTTTCACATGGATGTATCCAACATATTTCCTAATTTTCTACTACATATACAAATGTACAGATGACTTTATGTGAATAATTAAAACTGACTTTTCAAGTACTCGCCTCAGTGTAAAAATAACTAAAATGTATTTATATGTTTTATTCAGTGTTTACAGGTTAAAAACAGAACCATCATAAAATTACAGCATTAATGGTTAATTATAGGCAAGCCCCCTGTCCATAAAACCCCATACACTATCTATTGATCAATTAATATGCTAAAAACCTATTAGAGGCAAAATACATGCATATAACATATGGTTGTATTTGCACAACAGCATGCAGACCAAGAAGTGATATGAAGAGAATCCTACGCATTTTGCAGCTACAGAGTCTACTTTTCCAGGAGGGTAGTCAAGGTACAGTGGGGCAACAAAGTATTTAGTCAGCCACCAGTTGTGCAAGTTCTCCCACTTAAAAAGATGAGAGAGGCCTGTAATTGGCATCATAGGTAGACCTCAACTATGAGAGACAAAATGAGAAAAAAATCCAGACAATCACATTGGCTGATTTGGAAAGAATTTATTTGCAAATTATGGTGGAAAATAAGTATTTGGTCACCTACAAACAAGCAAGATTTCTGGCTCTCACAGACCTGTACCTTCTTCTTTAAGATGCTCCTCTGTCCTGCACTCATTACCTGTATCAATGGCACCTGTTTGAACTTGTTATCAGTATAAAAGACACCTGTCCACAACCTCAGTCACACTCCAAACTCCACTATGGTGAAGACTGATGATCTGTCGAAGGACACCAGAAACAAAATTGTAGACCTGCACCAGGCTGGGAAGACTGAATCTGCAATAGGCAAGCAGCTTGGTGTGAACAAATCAACTGTGGGAGCAATAATTAGAAAATGGAAGACATACAAGACCACTGTATATAACAATGCTTATTTGATAGATAGTTGTGCCAGACTTCAAGCCGCTAATTATGACATAGGCAAGTGCAGGGGCACGCTAGAAGAGACCAAGCAGTAGGGGCTCCAGAGATCTTCATAGCTTTTCAAACAGGGAAATGTCCTACATAGCGTCCCAGCCTCCCTAAAACGTACCAATGCTCCATCTCGATTCAGTGCTGCACACATGAGCCTCATCATTCCTGGGTCTCTCCCTCCTTGTTGGCTGAGACAGCAGCAGTAGCGTTGGCTCCTGCTAATGTCAATCACGGTCAATAAAGATAGGGTGAGGGCGGGGCTGAGCCTCAGAGTAAATGGCCACACAGAGCAGTGGCTCGGAAGCAAGCCTGTTTGGGTGTCCCTATAGCTGCTTGCTATGGGAGTACTAGGCAGGTGGGAGGGGCCTGGAGCGACAGCAGGTTTAACATGCTTGTTATTACAAAACAAACAAAGAAAAACCCAAACCTTTAAACAATTGCCCCCCAGAGAATTTATCCCCCTTCCTGACCAGGCCAATTTTTGCTTTATGGTGCTGCATTACTTCAACTGACAACTGAGCAATGCTGCACCCAAATGAAATTACATCCTTTTTTCCCATGAATTGAGCTTTCTTTTGGTGGTATTAATGGTGGCAATCAGCGACTTATAGCAGGACTGGGGGACTGTGGGACTGCGGCGGGCATTCTGACACTGGGAGGAACTAACTTGGTGTCACTAACATCCCCAGTGACACCAATACAGTGATCAGTGCTAAAAAAAAAGCAGTGGCACTGTACTAATGGCACTGGGCAGGAAGGGGTTAACGTGAGGGGTGATCAAAGGGTTAACTGTGTGCTGGGAGTGTTTTACTAGGGGGCCTGTGTCAATGTGCTTCACTGTATGCACACTGCTTTGGATGGCTGTGCTTTGCACAGTCATCCAAAGCAGTGTGCCAAGCTGACAGGGAGGAGAATTATTCAAAAGCAAAACAGTTCTCCTCCCCGTCAGAGATTGTTGGAAATCATCGGGCGCTGGCGAGTAATCACTGACTGGGGCCCGGTGGTTGACAGCGGCGGCTGCGAATGGTGGCACGGGTAGGAATTGCGTGCGCCCCCTACACGGAAATGCAAAATCACGTATATATACGTGATTTTGCACACCCGTGCCTCCCTGCAGCAGTATTTCTGCTATAGGGCGGACAGGAAGTAGTTACTATCACTTTAACAGCACACTTTCACTATAATTCAGGAGAACCATATCCCATTAAAGCCTTATGGATGTGGAATGTGTGCATGTATTTTGCAACTAATCATTTTTGAGCAATCAAAATAACGAGTAGGTGGTAGAAGGGGTTATATGAATGGTGTCTTTGATTGTAAAAACATAAACAGTTTATTTTGCTGTAATATAATGATGTTTTTGTTTTTAGCCTGTAAACATTGATAAAAAATTATAATATTAATTATTAATTAATTATTAATTTATTATTAGTTTTTGTTTTGTGGTTGGTACCTCAAAAGACTGTTTTTGTGTTTTGTTTTGTTTTGTTTTTTTTCAAATGAAGCGGTCTGTATTATATTTAAAGTAATGTGCCTGATTGTAAAGTGAATCTAATTTGCAAATTTCAAATGTAATAGTTGGGACAATTGTAAGCACTGTTCCAATGTGCCCAAAGCCCACTAGATGTAAGTAGCCATACTTGAATTATAATCAGCCTTGCTCTTTTGAGGTGAAAATTTTACCAAAACTGATGTGTAAAAATACCTGTGACTTTTCCACTAATTGTTGTAACATTTTAGCAGGACGATGTCAAGACGGCTCCATTCTTTTCATTCTGGGGGTATTTCAAGAAGTAAATCAGAGGGAACATTAATTGATTTCGATGGACAGAATGTGTCAACAAGCAAACCAGGTGAAATCTCTTTTATAAGATATTTTTGAATAATGTTTATTGACAGAGGATTTGTGCATTTTTCAATATCAAAAGTTAGACTGAGTTTGGATGCACCAGTGTTACAAACCTCTAAAGGTTAATTAACTTTTTAAAAAAGGTTTAGTGTTGCTTAATGAAAGCAATCATTGAATCCAGTCATGTCATTGTTGTATGATGTCTGAAAATAGAAGATTATTGAAAATTTCTTGACTAATCCCTAAAATGTAATCCCACTACGGCCTATGCCATTCTATAGTGATCAATGACCATGGTTGTTATATACACAGCTATTAAACAATGTACTAGTTCACTACCAAAATGTTATATCGCACTAAACCTTTCATCCAACCTCCAATTATTATATTTGATATTTTGAAAAAACAGTATGAAGGTAAAGGAAAGATTTAAAAAAATGTGCCTGTTAGCAACCTGGATTCCTTATCAGTTCCTACTCATTGGTCTTGGGCTCCTCCCTTGCCCCTCCTTCACAGGAATTATGTGGGGTACGCACAAACTTGTTTATGGAAGTTATTCTTCCATCTTGGCCACTCTCAATCACTGGGCTTTAGGCCCTCCAGTTCACATATTCCAGCAAAGATTGAAATAAAGGATTGTCTACACCAGCTGATTTTCCAATACTTTACGAGAGCCATAATGAGATGTACCAACTCACAGCACTTAGCCAAGCTTCACACAGTCTTTTGTAAATACTATATTTCTTCATCATTTATCTTGTTCTTAGGTCTCTTCCCACAGGAGTGTTCCCAGGCCTGCCCCCCCCCCCCCCCAAAAAAAAAGTCCTCTCCTAAATTTTCCTTTACCTACATGGCCTCCTACTGAGACCAACTCTTCCAACACTTCTTACTAGCTCCACCCCCAGAAGATATTATATGGACGACAGGAACCCCCTCCCCATGACATAGCCTTAGGCAGTACTAAACTAAATGGAGGCTTAATCCCTGCCTGCATGCATGTTGGTTAATAAATTAATTTTGCATAGCGGTTTGTGTCGATGGGGTCTTGGTAGGAGTGTGTCCTTTGCCTACATTCTTCCTCAGCTCAGAAAGTTGGGAGGTATATTTATGGGCTCGTGCATGATCTGTTATGGCTGTAGTTATTCTTTTGAGACATGTTCTTTGGCTGTTCTGGGGCTGAAAAATACTAGATCAGTTTTCTGATATAAATAATATCATTTATGATCAACCAGGAATGTAGTCTTGTATTTTTATCTTATTTAAATCACACATTTTAATTTATTATTTTCAGAAGGTGTTATTCTAAGCTTTAAAGTGAAACTGTGGTCAGGCTATGGACCATGTTTACTTTTGAATGTTCAAAGTCAAATATGTCCAGTTACAGCCTTTGTTTCATAAATGTTTCCCACTTTGTTTTAATAATTAACTTTTTTTGGTAAATATATTTAAATTTAATCATATTTTTGTAAGTGGACTTCAAACTTCTCCTTGGAACACTCTCATTAACAAATGATTAACTTTAAAAAGGTTGGAATGAATTTACACTGCAGTATAACAACATTCCAGCCCTAATGATTTATTTAGTGCAGAGAACTTTTTGTCAGCTCTTTCCTTGCCAGCATCCATAACAACACGATCTAATATTTAATATGGATTGGATACAGTTAGTGGAAATGTGACACAGAAAACTGTTTGCATCAATGCTACTCTGTATTAGTTACCTATATGTTGGCTCTCTCTGTTCTGTCCTCAGCTGTAAAATTCACCATAATGTAGGAGACTGTTCAATTACAATTATACCAACTAGCACGTTTGTAAAAATAGAGTGATGGTAATATTATAAAACTGAAATAAACTAATCTTTATATTAGATAATGCAATATACAGTACAAATACAAGCATAGTTACAGGTTACTGTCAACAACAAAGTGGAATTTAGCCATGTTTGCAATAGTAAAACCTTGAATATGTAGCACTACCCCCTTGAGAGCCACTGGTTTTGGGTCCCCCATTAATTCCAACTTGTATCCAAGCACAAAGAAACAGGCCATGGGTAGGGATGGGCTGGATATTCGAGTCGAACATAAATTTGACTCAAACATTGGCCGTTCGCGTTTCACCGAACACACAAGTAAAAAGACAATGCATTGTAATTGGCCAAAGCATCGCACCACAGATCAGGTGCAATGCTTTGGCCAATCAGAGCACAATTGGGCGGGAGCTAGCTCTGCCCAATTGTTTACATCTGACCAGCAAATGCGAGTGCTCAGCATGTGTGGACGGGTCAGCGGGCATCTTCTTTTTTTTTTTTTTTTTTAAATTTCGGCGAGTCGCCATCATCATGCCAATGCTGGATGCCATAATTGACGATGGATTACAATGATGGAACCTTTTTTTTTTTTTCTTCTAATAAAGGACTTGTGAAAAACCTTTTTGTTTTTTCTTTAATAAAGAGATTTTTCAAAAGACTCTTTATTTTTTTTACTAAATTTAAACCTTTACTGAATGGGTAAGGGTACAAGTACCCCTTACTCATTCACAAGGGGTGGGCAGCATCAGGGTGCCCTCCTATTTAAAGGGGTACCCTGATGCAAATGAGCTCACCTGCCCACAGACCCCCACAACCACCGGGCCAGGGTTTTGGGGAAGAGGCCTTGTCCCCATCAGCACAGGGACATCGTCCCAATAATGAGGGCTCGTGGCCATGGGGGAGAAGTGTGGGCACTCGTTTGTCCCCTCCATTTTCTATCCTGCCAGGCCTGTGCTCGGATCAAGGGTCTGATATATTCCACACGCTCCCCCCATTTTTGGGGGGTGGGGTTCCCCTTAAGTCCTACAAGGCCTAAAGGGCCTGGTATGGCTTTTAAGGGGAACCCCATGCACTTTTTTTTTTTTTACTGTGGGGTCCCCTTAACTTCCTTACCAGACTTAAAGGGCCTGCTATGGATTGGGGGGGGGGAGGACCACACGCTTTTTTTTTTTTTTTTTAAATGTAATTTTTTACGTGTCAATCCTGCTGCAGCAGGTTCTATGCATTGCACAGATGTGCAACTTTGCAGGTAGTTTAAGGGGACCCCCCAGGTATGATATTTAAAGGATTTGTTTTTTTACTTTAAGTAATGAAAAATTACTGCCCCTTTTAAAAATGGGACTTTTTGAAATTTTTTTCACTGATTCATGTCCCTCAGGGCAGTACCCGAGTCCCCATACCCCTTTTATGGCCTCCAAAATGGGCACTTTTGAATTTACAAGTTCGAGTCCCATAGACTTGCATTAAGTTTGAAGATCGTGATTGAACATTTATTAGGTTCGAATGATTGACCGCAAACTGAATACGGGGGTGTTCAGCCCATCACAAGCCATGGGCTTGTTTTTTTGTATTTCATAGGGATTTCAACTTGGATTTGGAAAAGAGGTTATGGGATGCCCAACTTGACTGAAGAATCACAAGAATGAAGACAGTTTCCTTCTCTAGCACACAGCAAAAATTACAAATATTTGACTGTGCTCCAGTTGGAACCACAACAATCTTTAGGAAAATAATCCCCTCCTAAGAATTTGGTGCCCCCTGAATGGATTTTCAGCACAGTGACAACTTGTTGGAGCTCTTAGTCCCCTTAGTGAACAAAATACCAGCCCACCTGGATATGGTATCTAATCCCAGGACAAGGGATTGGGTAAACTGTAAACTGTTTCCTGAAGACTTGCCAAGAACTTGCATCTAGCAGACTTTTTTCTTGTAGGCCCTGGGGGTGTAGAGGTACTCACACTGTCTTTGTCTTGCAGCTTTCGGGCCTTCCACTGGGCTGCTCTTTATCTAGGCTTTGCAGGCTGTCCTTCCCAGTGGACTGGGCAGTGGAGCTCTTTCCTTCAGCTTCCCTCCTTCCTCCAGCCTGGAGGCAGGACCCCCTTCTCCGGGGTCCCCTCCCAGGCTACACAGAAGCATTTCACTCCTCCATTTTCCACCCTACTCCCCTTTGCTGACCAGGCTCTGTCATATATATGGGTCAGTCTATCACACTGCCAATCCTCCTGCATGGGATTTGTCAGACTCCAATAACTATGCACATCAGTTCCTCCTCACCTCCACCCACTGACTTCTAGAAATTTCTCCAAGCTTCTAGAAATGGGGGAGGTACCAGAGGATTGACCTGTAGAGCCCTCCAGCTTAACCAGAAATAACCCTCTGTCTAAACCCAGGCTTCTAGTAAGCCTCTAACTACACTG